GTCACCTCGCCCAGGGGACTTTTCGCAAGCGGAATCGTTGCACGCAAAGGTCGCCAGGTAATTTCCGAAGGAGCAAACATTCTTCTAATTGCGATAATGAACTGAAACCGATACACGGGGACTAAGCAACGCCGTCGATTCTTCGACTAATGACCAACTGAATCGAACAATCTGCATTCCTCGAGTGTCACGATCGTGAAATATGTATGCGAACGGTGTTCAAAAAATCCACAGAATTAAAATTCATGGATAGGGACGAAACGAATAAGCTGCTCGGAAGATAGACACAGGAGAAGATAAGATATTAATCACCAGCGTACAGAAGATCATTCTTAAACCGGATTCCACGAGACATCTACAAATCTCTAAAATCGTATATTTATCTGTCATAACTCGACTGCTGATTCTTATGCCTATTCCTATTTTTAAACATACGTTGGAAACAACTGTTTCGTTAAAAGATATTCGTATCGTGTACAACTTTGCACTTTCGAGTTCCTCGTAAATGCACCAAAATCCGCAGTCTAATCTTAAACACGGGACCTGGAATAGAGATCGAGTAGAAACACCCGTTAGAAAACGTTAAACGCGAACGTGTAGAAGAATCGTGCACCAGGTACCAACGTCCCGTATCCCCCAGTATAACGTATGAACACCACAGGCTCGAGGTAGTATAGGAGTTTAATTGGTGGTAATATGAATCCGCGTAATATAAACCGCCATCAGTCTCTCGCCAGGAGAGTGCGCGAGCAAGAAAGTGGCGGAGGTGGCCCTCGAGAAATAACAGAGAAGGGAAACACGTTCGACCCAGACCCACGAAACGATGTCTCCACCTTCGTAATACCGACGACTCTTTTTATCACTGTCGCGAAACACGTTGCCCTTTGAACGTTCCGAGTCTAGCCTCGTGAAACGAGAGTAACGGGGGCAATTTAGATCCAGTCGATCGCTTCGTCCAGCTGAGAATTAGGCGTCCTCGAGGATGATAGAACTGGGACCGAGAACAAACGATCTCTACCAGGCGCTAACAAGCTTTTTAAACGAGCGCAAATTGATTCGCGATCTACTTGTTCCACACGCCAGTGTATATGATACGTAGATTATCGTTCGTAAGTATTTAGATAAATTGCTCGATTCTTAATGGCGATATTTTAAACGACGTTTATTGAAATGGCCACTTAAATTTGATATTTAGTATTTCCACGTATCGTTCGAATTTCCTATTTGAATCTGGTATTCGAATTCGGTATTCGATCAAAAGAATGGAAATTAATAACGAATCGGTAATTAGACGTAGTATTTGCTATCTATTTATGGAATCACAGCAGACTATGAGTTTAAGTTGCTCGTTAAAGTTACGCAGTCGCAGAAACGTAGAAAAGTTGCAATTCTAATTTAATCACGAAGCTTAGCATACCGTACGTAACGAACAACCCATTTCAGCCAATTTATACACGTTCGAAACTCAAAACCACGAAACTCTCTACTATTACGAAACTTTCCATTCTCTCCGTCCGTTTCCTCACCAAATGTCAAGTCCACCGCCATACAAATAACACTGTTACACATCGCCGAAAGTTCGTAGCAATCAAAGAACGCTCACAACCCTCGTCTGTTGTCTCGGGGTGCGACAATCTCTCCTGGAATACCAGGGAGGGCCGAGTTCCAAGTTCGTTGACTCGCCACGAGTCGTAAGCGATCCTAAGAAGATAAATACACCAGCAGAAGACGATTCCAAGGCGTTTCCCCCGAGGAACCCGCTATCCCTCACAGTTCACCCTCTTTTTCCTCCGACTGCCGTGCATTTTCTCTAATGTATTCACAAATCTTCGTTCTAGCGAGACGTTATCATTCTCCGAGCAGCCCGGAGCGTCGTTTCACGGCGACCATGTGTCCGTGCATACGTGTGCGATAGCGCGAGGGCGCTCGCTTTCTTCCAGCCCCGCTCGAGCTGCAAGGGTGGAATTCATTTCGCGGCCCAACGCCCTCGTCTATAGCCCGGCAGCGGCGTTCGATTGCTTCGATTATCCTTACCTTATTCTGAGAACCCCTCCAGTCCCCATCGAACCTCTCTTTTTCTTCTACGATCCTCGATTCGCCATTCTCGTTCCGGGACATCGACGAGAGTGACTCTATCGCGAGCGACTTCGCGTTCCACGTAAACCCCTCCCCCTTCCCTTCTGCCTGATCAGAGAGCTCTGGAAATCTATCGTTCGGGGTGCAACTACCCTCGAAATCCCCGATGGTCTTTCACCTTCGTCGCAGAGTTGATCCTCTTCGCGAAGGCTCCGACTACGACTGAGAAACACGGATAAAGAGATGGAAAAAGGGTTAGAGCGACGAAGACGAGGGTAGCATAAGGAGTAGTAGTGGAAATTAGGGTCAATATAGTCGACAAGATTTACCACGAGGAAGTTTGTTAACGAAACAGTTGCAGGTTGAGAAAAAATCGATCAAAACTTTGGAATCGGTACGCGTTCCAGGTAGATCTAAGAATTTAAAGAGAAAATGAGCTTAGAAGAATTCTGCAGCTTCGGCAATTCTTTCGTAGGAAATGAATTAAAGTGAGGTAAATTACCGTCGATATCTGGAGAAGAAATTTGGAATTCATAACAAAATTATCTGGTAGGAAAAGCTCTCTCTACTCTACATTGTCCCAAGTATATCCACATGGATTTCTTGCCTCGCTTTATGCAGTGTACGTACAATTTTTATCTTTGATCTTGTAGTTTAGGAGTTCGTTTAAGAATGTAATTAATATATAGTTTGATTCATCAAGTTCATTTAGGTGCTTTTGCGTTATAAATGAAAGAGCCGATCTTACGTGCGAAGGTAGTAAGTCCAGTTTTATCGGCTTCCGGATTTTAACGTTACTCGGCGATGACTAAACGCGAAATAGTTTTTCCGATGGCTTTTAGCTATTTATTGTCTTTTAAAGTAAAGGAGAATTTTACGAGAAAGTTTTCGCAATTGGCGCGGACACAATGACGGTTTTATTCGAATTTTAGTCGTTTCGAGTTTGATCCCGGAATGCTTGGCTCGGTACCATGAGCATCGGCCGTGACAAATATGCAGGCGAAATATCACTATAGGGAAAGGAGTTTCTTCGAGAGATCTATCGCATACCGATCGTACAGAGAAAAACGGTGGTATCGTTGGTAATTTAGCTTTCACGGTTTAATGATTCCGTTGAGCGCGTAGCAAAGAAACAAACGTTTCGAATTTTTCGAGAGGAATGCAAATTTTATTTCCTCGTGGAATCTTATTGTTCGTTTCAGATGGAATAGTTACACAACAAATACACAAACTACGAATAAAGGACTTAGATTTTACTTTAGAATTCCACCAAGTACCAACCATCGATCAAAAATCAACTGAACGAATTGTAAAATACATTTTAATTGAGGGAAACCGCAAATCGTCGATGAAACGATAATACATCGAAAGAAACGCGAATCTTTCTACATTCCCGATGCACAAATCTAATTTCTTCAAAACTTTCTACCTCGTAAAACAAGCATTTATTTACGCAATTAAAATATCATTTATAACATAACTCGCGTTATAATTTATACTTTGGTTCGCCATATGATTCGTGTAATTTACCATATCCACGACCTAAGCTCAAATACTATATAAAATACCATAGAACTCGTATTACGTCGAAACCAAGCGAGAGAGGCAAACGTTCCCCGGCCTCCAAGACAGCTACCAAACAATTCATCTGCCATCAACTATGAAACCGTCCGTATCTCGAGAAACACGGTCGAAATTTATTCATAATCGAGGCTGGAACGGCGGTATGGCGAACATTTCGGTGCCAGAAAGAAGAATATCCACGGAAAGACACGAAGGGGTGGGGAATCGAGGGGTCGAAGTCGCGTCGTCATTCCAGAATATGAGATTTCCAGCAGTTCCAGGCGAGGGAGTGGTCGTACGTAAGAGATCGAGGGTCGAAGAAGGTCCAAGGGAGAATTCGCGAGAGAAGCTAGAAAGAGAAGCGGATATAATGGGCACCGAAGCGGCTGAGGGGCATAAGCCGGCGAATCTGGCGACTCGTACGCGAAGAAAAGCGCGTACTCGTACGAGCAGAGTCGATCGGGGGACATTATTGGATTCTGAGCATTCTCCGAGTTATTAAAATTCGAAGCGAACCGCGAGGCGACCAGAGCGAAAACTTCCCCTTTCGTCTCGCTGGTCTTCAGGGGTGGAACGTTTGTCGAAGAATATTAAAGCCCCGATACCCGAAGCCTCTAGAAAAGAGAAGAACTGTTGGCAAAATCCTAGCCCATGCATTTCTTACGCGATTTGTTAGCGACGAGCGAAGAAGCTTTCAACGAGCTTTAAAAATTTGCGGGGCTTCTGCTAATTTTATATGAAAATTTATATTTTAGGCATGGCTTGAAAGATCGTTTGGAGAAGAGCATGACCGATATCGACGTTAATTGTAGCATCTCTTTCAACAATTAGGAGCTGTGATTAGCTTTCAAGAACCAAGAGCTACGACTCGATTATTTTCGAATGTAATATTGCGAGAATATTCGACTTGACGATGATGCCGATTTTATCATTGCGATTAACATAGAATACTCGAATATTTCGACGAGCATTGTTAGCTCCATTATCGTACAATAAATATTACAGAAATAAAATCGCTGCGAAGAAATCGTCAAGTTCTTAAAACCGGCAGATGCGATCAAATAGATAATTATTCCATTACAATGGTAATGTAAAATAAAGAATCGTTATATTAATATCCATAGCGTGAAACTTTAGTACAAAGAAATCTACACCAACGATTGGTAATACGTTGAAAGCAGAAATCGCGATATTTTCCACGTTAATTTACCAAAGAGCGTCCAGAATATCGCAAGCATTTTATCGGCGGTCTCCGCCTACTCTACGTCGATGCTATCATAGCCTATTATCAAATCAAAATGATCAATCATCAGGGTCAATAGCGAATACCGGGGGAGGGTTGCCTTCTCACTGGTGCGAGGCAAACACAAAAGGCGACAGCCAGTTTTCAAGAGGGTCCGGTAAAAGGCGGCAGAAGTCACCGAGGGCAGATTCAAGGGAGGGAAAGGTGGCAAAGGTCGTTCTCGAACCTTGATCAGGGGTGTCCGTCTCGTGTGAGTAAATACAGGGATCTTCTTCGTAATCGGCGTAATCGTTCGACCGACCATCGATCATGCTTCCACAATAAACTTAATATCATTTCGCGTCGAACTGCGTGAAAAGTTGAACGCCCGGGAGATGATCCTTCGATTACACAAACGCGACTCGCGTAGTCGACATTGTGCGTATTGGAAAGCGTATCGTGGAGAATTTTAAAAGAAACCAACGTACATTTAGTGATTTTGTCAAGGATACCTTTGCTATCGATGCAACGATGAACGAAACTTTTTTAAAGTAAATCAATCGTCGAGGAATTTTCTTCGGATCGTCCAAAGAGACAACGTTTGATATAATCGATATATCTGTTATATATAACGGGATCGGTACGTGAGAAAAGAATAAATTAGTCGAGATTTGCCATTGTGCTTGGATTGAAAAAGAGACCCAAACAAAAGCTATTTACGATTATCCAGAAACGCGATTGACATTCGTAAAAGAAAATCTCCGTACAACGTGTAACCTACGAACTACATAGAAGCTCAATAAGAAGATAATAATCAGCCTGCTCCCTTACGAACAAAGCAGGCCGAACAATCAAGTAACGCGCACGGCACGCTAACGAACAAATAAAAATCCCTTCCGCGTGTTGCATTTTCCGGCGCATTAGTTGCGCACAATGGTTCCGGTAAAAGGTACAGCGGTAATGGTACGCAACGTAACGAGATCCAAGGAAAAAGGCAAACAATTCCGCCGCCTGATCGAATATAAGTAAATTAAACGCTAGAGAGCTATATATGAAAGTATTCGTTTATACGACGAATAAAAATACAAAGAAAAGTAGACAATGTCCATCTTCAGCGATTTTACGCATGGAGCATCGGAATGAACAATTTATAAAGATTGACAAGTAAACGTATTTGAATAAGATAAATTAGAAAATTTAGTATAGCGATTAAAAGGTTGTTGATCCGCCGATGCAATCGCAGATCTTCCCACTTCTAATACCGATTACTGTCATTTTCAAAAACGAAATTTGATGTTTCAACGCGATCCATGCGACATAATTTTCAACAAGACCTTTCATTCGTTTCAAACATTTTTACAATCGTCTTCGAACGCGTAACACGAATCTTTCCCATCGATTCTTCCGATACACGCTGCACGCGTGTTACGGTAGCAAATAAAACACTGAAGATTAAAAGCGAGGGTGTCGCAAACGCACATGTGCGCGAGTTTCTCTGCTCGAAACGAGAAACGTGGGACGAGAAAAAAGACCGGGGGTGAAAAAAAAACGAGCAACTCCACGGTTACGTTTGATTTTTGATCTGCATTGCTGTTCGCCGGCCCGGAAGGAAAGCCTTTAGAGAATTTTTCCAGCTGGGAAAGCCGTTCGAATATTCACCGAGCTTCTGGTGGCTCTCTATTCAATCCGCTCTTTCATTTCCGTGATTGCTGTTTTAAATAATTGCATCTCTATACCTATCCGGTCGCGGAGTCCCTTCCTGACTCGTTTGCGCAAAATATTTGAAATCGACCTGGGTTATCCCTTCTCCGACACTCGCCCCTCCGCGACGTTTTCACGTTTTTCATCGGATGGCTTCGGTAACTCGCGATTTTTAATTAAATCCTCTCTGACTGACGGCCGAGATCGATGAAAAGAAAAATGTTGGCACTCGTGCGCGACACGTTGCCAAACGGGATTCTATGAAATTGGCTATCGGCCCAAGCTGAGCGCGAATACTCGCGAATCGACGGGGGTAAAAAAGTCATTTGCGGGATTGAAATGGAAATTCGATCGTGTTCCCGTGGAAATTCCATTCGCACGAGAGTAGGACTTTGAACAGGCTGTTCTATTGATTTCAGCGAATTCGATGGTCAATGAATATCTTTTTTCTTTCCTCTTTGTTCTTTTCGTCTTTTCTCCCTTTTTTTTCTTTTTTTTTTTTTTTTGATGCAAATTATAATGGCCGTTAGAGGTGTAACACCGCTGGATAGAGACACGGCAACGCTGAAAAATTAGAAAGGACCTTTTCCTCGCTTTCGAGGGTATCGAACCCTCGTTTTTCGATATTTTTTAACAAGCTGCTCCATGGGGAAAAATATCATATTTCTGTAAAGGCGGCTCGAGCGTCTCCCTTTGACGTCCCCCTTTAAGTTTAGTTGCCATCTCGAGCCGGTGAACGATCGATCGTCTTGGTTCCGTCTCTCCCTTCTATTGTCACAGCATGGCCCGAGGGTGAAGCGAGGAAAACTGCTGGAAAAATTTACATCCTCGATTGCGACAGTATGGTCGTGTTTGGGTTAGCTAGGAACAAACGTGACGAGAAATCGCATGGAAAACGTATCGAACGTTGGAAGAACGTTTTTATAGCGATTGACTGAATATGAATGTAAATGTGGTTGATTACGTGCTGGTTATTGTGCACGTAATAGCATATTTTTATTTAAACCAACTGATATAAAAAGATTGACAGGGAAACGACGTTGTTACGTAATATTTATATAGACCGAATTTAATCGTTTTTGATAGCGAATTATCGAGTACGTAGGAACAACAACGACAGAGTATCGACAATTCGCGTCAATTATCGTTACTACTCCTGCAATAATATTTCAATTTCGCATAAACGCGTATCTTTTCTCTGAACTATTAAACCTCAACATTGCCAATCTATTTGTTAAATGGGTTAAAAGTTACATCTTTGCGCGTAAAATAAAGATCGTAAAATATCGGTAAAACAATAACGCAAACTGCAAATCAAAATTTCGAGATAATAATCCAAACCACAAATCAGTGCGATAAACCGCCTCCTCCGTGAAATCCACCTCGTTCTACGACCACGCTGCAATCTACGACCAGTTACAATGTCAGAAAAGGACGAAAGCGAATCCGGGCGGCGCCGAACCCAGCGACAAGACTTTCTCGATCTTCCGTTCAAATCACCGGAGCCACTCCTGTCGCCGTGATATCTTTGTTCGACGAAAACCGGACGGAAGGAAAGCCCGTTCCTCGAACCGCGGCAAGAAAAATAAGTCCTTCCGCGAATCTGCGTTCCATCCAGCGTGAACGATCGACGAAGAAGAAATCGGAAAAATCGCAGAAAAATCGACGGGACGGTCGATGCATGCGAGGGTGGAAATGCAAGAGAAGAGAATAGAAGGGATGGCGTATCGCGGGTGTCGTGATTCGTGCGAACCGGCCTTTACGATTCGAAATCGGTCGATGGAAGCGGCGGAACGGGAGACAACGGCGAGAAAAGAAGAAAAGGAAAGGGAGACGAGGGAGAAAAGCGAGAAAGGAGGGCGAAGGAGAGGCGAGACAAGAAGGGAGGAGATGATAGAGGAACGGAAAAGGAAAGAGAGAGGAGAAAGAGAGAGAAAGAGAAAAGAGAAGCCTCGAGTGCTAAGCCCGATGCGAGAGAGTGGCCAGGCTAAGCCCAAGGCAGAAAGAAAGGTTTTATCTGCTCGTAGTTATTTATCGCTTTCCGTTGTAGCGCTGGCGTCGGGGCACGACCAATCAGAAGTCAGTATCCCCGGGTACCAGTCCGCGCCATCCGCATACATTATCGTGCGGAGCCTCGGCCATTGTCTTTCCACCGTTGTAAATCACATTTTATTCCCTCGCTTACGGTTTCGTTTTATTTATTTGTCGGAGAAACGTATCGCTACCGTACTCGTGGCCAAAGGGGCGCTCGCGCGCGCTCCTCGCGCTCTTCTAACGTGTACAGACGGACGAAGAGACGGACGTGCACACATAGAAATAGATATACCTATATACACACGTGTACCATCGCGGAACAACACGAGAAGGACACACGTGTAGCCAGAGGAAACACACGCTTCCCCGTAAAATCCGTGTAAAGGGAACACACATCCGTGAGTCGAGGGTACCATCGTGGTTGTTCCCTCTTGTTTTCTCCTTTGGACACTCTCTTGAATCGTCCTTTCCTCTCTTTCGTCGACGTAGAACGTGTGAGAGAGGGCTTCGAGGGGGAGAAACGAACGAACGACTTCGATTTTTATTAAGCACCCGGGTGGACCGAGCAACGTCCTCGTCCTCGTCGTCTCCAACGACGACTGTTTAACTAAATTCCATCGCGGGATCACCCTGCTGGTTCGTGATCTCCCCCTAGGACCCCGATAGCCTTTTTTCTTGCCCCGAGCTGCTCCGCTGGCCCGTTGTCCTCGTTCTTTTGGCCACGCTTTCTTTCGAGCCTTTTTCTTCTCTCTCTCCTTCTGCACGCCGCGGAATAAAAGTGAAAGGATGCCTCGCATGATTTACGGAAACGACGAGCTGATGAAACGGCTCTCCGGGCCCCGTTTTCGAACCGCACCGCTCCCCATCGGCGACCGCGATCACCGCCTCCATCCACTACCACGCCATTCTAATTCCACGCGCTTTTTCTCCATCCTCCTATCGTGCTGCGTTCTTTTTTCCATAGCTTTAGTACCGATGTTATTGAGCATTCTATGGCAGTTGTTCGTGTATCGATGGGTTAAGCAGTAAATTATTAAGGCGTTCGTTATATCCAGATACCCTGCAAGATATCGTTTCGCGGACGCTGGTCGTCTTGCTTCGTATAATTATCATTTATTTACGATAATCATAGAATACGCGCGTTCTACGCAAAGTGCCCGAAACGTCTCTGCATCCTCTTGTATTTAATCGATAAGTCGGATATCGTTGAGGATCGATCGTCTTCTCGATTTCCCGCCACGATACGCGTAGACTTTTTCGCGTTCCACGCTGCGAAATACTCGCAACGATATCGCACAGTACTATAATAGATATTATCTCGTTCAAAAAATGTTCGAAAGAGATATACGTCGACGTCACGCTTAATAATTGTTATCAGTAAATCGTGTTGCATTGACAATTGGCGAAAAATACCTGGTCGGTCGAGTAGTAATTCCGAATTAATAACACGAAGGAGAAAAGATTCGAAGAATTGGGTCAGTGATACGAAATTATGGTTTTCACGCAACAACGACAACTAAAGATCCATACGCACAGTTACAACTGGATAAATAAGTACATTGTACGATTCTGCTATAAACATAACGACGTCCGTTTCAATTATAACCGTGTCGTATTATTTCATTTACTCTCGTATCATCGAGCATCGATCTTTGTGCTTTGCTTCTTAACGATTCAACGATTCAACAGGAACGCATGATTTCTCCGAGTAGCAATGAAATCGCATTTCGAGAGTCGAGCCTCGACTCCAAACGATTCGATGCGTAGCGCGGTTTATTAACATGCTTCGACGAACTGCTATTTTATATGCGCGCAATCCGCGCACCATGTTAATTATGGGTTGCGTTACCTTGTGCCGATACTTAACCACAGCGTTGCACTCGACCCGGGTGAATTATTTCGCTCGTACAAAGCCAAAGATTTACGAAGTTTCGTAGTAAAAACTATAACACCCCGATACCATCGTTACGTTGTGAAACCCTTTACGCATACGCTCGTAAACGTAGCATATAAAAGAAAAAAAAGGACTCGCTGATGTGTATAATCCCTTTGGGTTTTTTAATTAATCATATAGTTTTTCGCGTTATAATTGTACCGCAGTTAGGCGCAATAACGATGCTTCGGCATCTTCGGCTTGTTCAAATGTAATTGTGAATTATCTCCGCTCTTTCTGAAACCACTGCCATCATTATTATACGACGATGTAGAAAATTATAGTCGAACAAGTTGAATACGAGGTTCGTTTAAAAGTTCTGTATTACCTTGTCTTGTTTATATTTTAATAATACGTGTTGGGTTATAGTTTTTGCTGCAGATTGTAGGAATAATAACGTCGATAGTTGAGCATCTAATTCGCGAACGTGTAATATAAGAGATATTTTCTCACAGAATCCACATTTACGCTTATCCTCGCACATGTGCGCTTCGTTTACGAATTATCGTGAAATTTCCCTTTTAAATTTCGTTTTCAATCGAGTTTGCTTTATCGTAGGATTTCGATCAGACGCGTAACGTGGCTCGATGAACGTATCAGTAGGCTGGCTAAAAACCAGACAATGACAAGTCAATTAAAGAAAATGAAAGAAAAAATTGATTATATAATAGAAAGTGACGTGCAAAACAATCGAGTCTCGAAGCGTAGCATAAACTTTCACGCTTATCAAGCTGCACCTACGTGGTGTTGCCATCGACGCATACGATACTCTCGTACCGCTTTCCTACGAAATATAAATCACGCTGCACGAAAGTGTCCACGGCCGCACTAAACCGGCCTCCGCGTGCCAGTAACGAAACAACAATCGACCATAACGTGACCCACCAACAACAATATTATTGATCTCTACTACTTGAACGATCAACGTCCTCGATGTTTATCGTTCGCGGGAATGCTCGAACCCGCCGAAAAAGCGAACAGAGACTGTTCACGGCAGACAGAGTGAAACGGCTGTATAAAGAATTCTACTGCAGTACGGCGACGCGACGGAGGCGCCGGTTTCGAGGCGAAAGAGAGTCTGGCCTGCTCTGTGGTTTCTTTCGATCGGCTTCCAAAATTAATAACGACTGATTTTTATCTCCAATCCATTTCCGAAGTTAGCAATTTCATTTTTAACGAAAAGACGTTGAAAAAGAATTTCGAACAAGTTAAAAATTTAATTTTTTTTTTTAATCGTCTTTGATAACGTTGAAATTTTCAATAATTTTGTTCCAATAGAACAGAACGAATCGATCTAATCGATGTTCGTTAGAGGTATTGCATAGATTTAGTCCTGACCCTTTTCTCCTTTTATTCAAAATTATTTCGTGTATGAAAAATTAAAAAGATAAAAAAAAAAGAAAGAATTAAGAAAAATACATCACGACCGAATAAAACACCAAATGCTTGTGATAGTTTCAGCGGTGCAAGTAGACCATGCAGGCCAGGTTCTCTCCCAGCCTCAGTCGCGTCCTGGCCATCAACAGGTCAGTAACAACGATAAATATACATACATATTACTGAAACTTAAGCGTGCGGATAGAGACAGACGAGCGAGAACACTGTTCTATGTTATAATGGTATGACGCTGATTATCTGGATAAATAGGAGAATATACAATTTGAGACGTAAAAAAATCGGTAAAATCCGGATAATCGGCGTTTTATCGTAGAAGCGTATAGTTGCGTTGTTAACGCATTATGGATCGTTTAATTGAAAGCGGCGATGATGACGGTACACGTGATAGCGTAGATAACGGTGCGCAAATTACATGGCACGCATTCGCACGTGTTTGACTTGTATGTAGATACTATCGTTTTCGTAACAGTATTGATGTGTTTGCCTGTGTCAGACGAGGAGTAACCTTTTTACCTTGGTTTCTCAGTAAATGGAAATTATTGAAAAGAAAAGGTACATTAATTTTAATGAGTCGGATAAGGTATCTGCTGGTTCGTTTAGCCTGATAATATAACCAGTTTGAAATTTTTAAAAATATTATGCTGTGTGAGTTAGGTATCTTATTTCGATATTACTATAGTGATAAATATATAGGTGCTTCGACGTTTCCAGATACCTGTAGCACGTATAGATGATATTCGGATAATGAGTTTTTGAAACGAAAGCTATAGGTGTAGCAAGATTTATAAAATTCTAAATTCTTCCTAAGGAAAATTTTATCAACGTACGATTTAATCTGCCACAGAACGTTCGACCTATAAATTTTGATAACCAATATGTTGATTTTTCGTTAGCTTAAGACGGATATTTCACTTATTTCATTTCTACATTAAAGGCTTTGTGTAATAAATTGAAATAGTTCGAGCGATAATTTGAAATTCAAAGTTTCGAGATTCGAAGTTCGCAGCTCACACAGATTCGAAATTTTACACTTTTATGATTACGTAGCAGTTACTCTACGTTTCTTATTACGAAATTGAAAACAATTTTTTCAATGTTCGTTCCAATACTATAAGCGAACGTTTCCAAAGTATAATTTATTCTACTTCTGATCATTTTTTTCCATGTAAATTTCACTTTTTCAAATCCTGTCTTGAGTAGACCAATAATCGTTAAAACTACGTCATTGAACGCACGCTCGAAAAGATGAAATATTGTCCATAACGTGTAAACTGCAATATAATACGAGATTTACATCGGTTAGCGACAAATTCATAACGCGTATAGAAAACCTCGCCGAGCAATTACAACGTGGCAGTGCAATTATTTATTTAATAGTCCGTGAAAGAGAAAGTCGTAGAACAGGTTGCTGCCACTGTTACGCGTCGTGGCCCTATCGATTATCGTTTCACGAAACATACTTCGATAGTTCGCTTAAACTTTTTCTCGTAAACTGTCGCGCGTTTTATGCAGGAACGTAACAACTTGGGAACAAAGAAACTTGTTGACCACCGACAACGAAGGAAAAGGCTTCTCGAAGCTGTTTTTCAATGCGTTTCGAATATCATCTACCAGACTACGAAAAATATTACTTGATATCTAGCATGGTAGAAAATTCTACAAATTTTTAAATATCTTTTACTCCTAACATACGCGTGAAACTTTAAATCGTCGTAATCGTTAGATCTATGTATTAATTCGGTGTCTTTAGATCTAGATATTTCTACTTAAAATTTAAGTATATCTTATAATGTACTTAAAAATCTAATATCTATATATCCAGAATAGACTTTTAAACAAATTTTTAATTTTTTACGCGTCTTCCGCTTTCCTCGTTAAAGATAAATCCGACGTATCTCGTAATCCGTATCTAAAATTTCAATTTTAGATTAAACAGGCACCGAATTAATTTACGATCCTAATAATTTCCATCGTTATCCTCGCACGTCCAAACGACCATCCCTTGTTTTCTCCAATCCCCAATCGCGTTCAACTTTTTTTTCGTCGCCGTACACCCTGTTGCCTTCGCCATGGACGACCTTTTTCTTTGCGTGCGAAATTAGTCTAACCTCAAATTAGCTCCCCGTCAAACATCCAATGTTTCCCTCGTTCTGCCTTATGTCTCGTTACTGTTGTTTCTTTTTTTCCCTACTTTGGCCAACGAAACTCGAAACCTGCACGGTGGGTAACTTTGTTTTGTGTTGGGTCGCGCGACCAGAAGCTTTTTTGCCCTCCCCTTTTTTCAATTCTACTCCAGCGTATCTCACCCTCCATGCAAATGAGCGTATCGCGGATCTTCCTCGCCCCGTGCCAAGGGCGTGCTCGTCTCGTTTAGAAAGGAAATACTCGACGCAGAACGCCTCTCTTTGTGGCTTTGGCCGCGTTCTCTGTTTGTTGGGGTTGCACTGATTAACTTGTCGCGTGCGAAATTGCGTTAACTACGATTAAATACTTTGCCAACGATGTACCATGGTTGAGAAAGAGAAGAACGAACTTCAAACTATAAATTTTATTAACTCGATTAGTACCAACTGTCGCTGTTACGTTATTAGCACCTTATGTCGCTAAAATATTATAATATTACGTTATATCGGTATAACGATCTGCATACGGTTTTTCTAACGTTATTAACAATTCTAGTCGAAACAATAAATATTCATATTTCTTATACACAAGACGATATAAAAGTCATTGAATTTTGTTAATCTTACTTCGTATTTCATAAAGCATCCTAGATAGAGAAAATTCTTTTTTTAATATAGCCTGTCTGGCGTTAAAACAGTGACGTGGCAATGAAAGAAGGAAAATAAAGGAGACGATTAAGTATGTAAGAATAAACTCGATGTGAGGTCTACCAGACGTCACCTCGACCCTTAACACGACCCAAAAACCGTCAAAGTCTGCCCGTTGTCATGTAGATTCGTAATCTTCCGCATTGTACCAAACAATGGAGGCATTCAGTCCCAGGAATAGTGTGAATGCTTATTAAAGTCACGCTGGTATTCACTGTGTTTAGCCTTTTCTGAAACCTTTGCTTACGATCGACAAAAAATGCCTCGATACAAAGAAACATGTCGACAAAGAAAAGCTGAATTTCTACCAGTCCTTGCATTAGTACGATGATTGGCCATCTAGCTGTAAAATTACGCTTTGATTGGATTTCTTTGCCTGGTATTTTAGATGTTTCGATTATTCTCTCATTTAGCGCCATCTTTTTAAATAGATTCTGATGGAAAATATTTGTGACTTACATCGAACCTTGAATCGCAATTAAACTCACTGTGATCCGATTAAACTACGGATAGCTTCTTAGGAAGATGACAACATTTTTTATAGAAGAATTTTTATATTTTGTAAATCAACAATATACTAGGAAACGATAGAATTACCAGAAATCTCGAGAATAATTTGTACGTGTAATTTCGCGAATTATTTTTAATGGAATTAACGATTGCTCTAGATTTAAAAATCTGGCTTAATTAAATAATTCTTTCGTTATCGTTCTACGAAATTTCTATTAAAAATATTTTGTTTAAACGCTCGCTTAACTTACAACGGAAAAATAATACAGCGACGAACGGTTACAAATATTCAATTAAAAAACTCGGATATTCTTTATCACGATTAGGTATCGAAAGTGAAATAACGGATTTCGTAATCGTTTGTGTACGAGGGAAATACAACGAAACGTACATCATTTCGTAACGAGTGTTGATTGTAGGTTTGACAGAAAGTTCTTAAAAATATTCTACTACAGAAGAAATATTTCCGTGGTGACGCGAAAACGGTGAAAGCGAGCAAATGATACGAACGATTATTTTATTGTACCGAGAAGATAAACTGTCTGATCGATATCTAAAGGCGAACCCCTCGGTACGTATGCAGCAACAATGCTGCACAGCTCGACTACTCAATGATTTATAACCCCACTTATGAACCAAATCGATTTCTCTCGAAGGTACTATCCTGACGCCTACACGCTCTTTTAATACGGATAGATTCGAGAGTCTTCTATGAAAACAACGATGCTTTTACATCGTTTCGGTACGAAAACCAGGGATTAACCGTGCAAAAATCAAAACGTAAATTTCTATAATACGTGTGTGTGGACAAATTTTGGGATGCGTTGGGATAGATTTGGCTAAGGATCTATTTAACACTAACGTTTTATTCTTTCGTGCGATGGACGAATGCTAAATGATTCGAATGAAACAAACTAGCGAATATGTTAGAGCTGGATCTCCATTATCTCGACGCGTTTAACCATCTAAATTCTAAAAGATCTTGCACGTTGGTATAACCGGATCGTTCTATATTTTACGCGTACAGTACTAGCCCGATACAAGTAAAATATAAAAAAATCCAAGTATAATTATCATTCGCGTAGACAGAGCAATTTCCAGTGTAATTTAAATACAAGAGAACCATTTGCATGGACAGCGTCGCTCGTATATCATACACCGTGGATACCTCTCGTCCGTTAATCGAAAGCAACGTATAAACAAATTATCGATCAAACGACGGAAAAAAGCAGGCATCCGAATATCATCGGTGTCACGAAGACACCGTTCACAGGATCTCACGAGAATGATCGTCAATTCCGCGCCTGGAAACCTCCACCCTTCGATCACATACCGCGGCGTTCTAATAAACGTTTCACAAAAGGATTTTAAAAGCGGAAGGGTATCCAATTATCGCCTGGTCACGACATCCGATCGTGCTGGAATTGCAAAAATAAATTCCCCGGATAGCCTTGCTCCGGCCGTAAGGAATAAAGGGGGTGATGGTTGACGAAGAGAGGGTAAACGGAAGGTGGCGAGGATGCAGTGTCAAGAAAGCGGAAAGTCCGATAATGAGACGTCCTCGCTTTGAAGTTGAAGGCAGGGCGATCGTCCAATGTCGACGTTCGATCGACGAGAAATGAGGCGAGCCCGATGAAGAACGAGGAGAAAGGGCAAAATAAAAAGAAGGCTACGAAGGTGGCAGAGGGTGAAATAAAGGCTGTTAGACGGTGGAAATTACTCTTTTCTGGAAAATCACGTGTGCCAGCTGCTGGTTGCACCAGCGATCGCGTTGTCGTATCGACTAA